ATTGTTGATACTTGGAAATCTTCTAACATATAACGAATCTGCTACTTTAGAATAAAACTCAATTTAAAAATAGTATCTGCTCTAGTCAATATTTGATCCATAATAATTTATTTTATTAACTCTGTTTTTACCATATTTTTTATTACTCTTATTATTATCATATTTTTTATAATATTTACATTTTTATTGAAGTTTTATTAAAATTGAATAACACATTCAGTAACACATTTTATATATAGTTATTCGTATTACTTTTTTTACATAGTAAATAATTTTTATCATATATTTATTTCTAATATATATATTTGCTGAGTAAATAATTTCTCAATATTATTTTAAAAATACGTAAAGCTAAAGGAAAGATTATAGTACTTAATACCATTTAATTATTAAATTAAATTATAATTTATATACAGATGCATATTTGCAAAAATAAATTCAGCTTATTCAGCATCGAGTATAATATCAATAAATAAATAATGCATGTTTCCACAGTATTTTTCTATCGTTGTAACCGCCTGTAACATCCCCAACATACGAAGGCTGTGATCCGGATGTGATCGTCGTACCCCGCTGTCCGAGGAAAAGTTCGTCACGGCGGTCACAACCGAGGTCGTCCCACGATGTGCTTAATGTACTATTAAACGCAGCCATTGTGTCGGCGGCCGTCCATCGCGTTCACAAATTTATTTCCGCCGCACCCCCGTTTATCCTGTAGGACCATCGTTACGACCTTGATGAAGGATGAAGAATAACAGAGAAGAACACGTGTCACCCTTATTCCGACGAAAGAGATATACCAAGCTTTCTCCCGCCCTCCGTGTTCACCGAAACCCCGGTCATCGATATGCGTTTTTCAATTTCTATTCACAGGAGAATGGGGAAGAAATCATATATCTCGCGGAACAGAGATGGTATTCATATGCTAAAACGTTTGGCCGAAATTCCTGGACAATCTTTCTTGGAGAATAAAACTTTTCAGCACGGGATTCACCCAATTTCATTTCATTTTCTGTAAACTCAAGTCTGCATTCCTTTTACAAAGCTTATTTATGAGCCTGATTCTTATCTTTATACCAAACATCGATTTTACATGCTTGCATTCTTAATATATTTATTGTTCTTGTATGTTTTCTACACTTTTCTAATGTGTACTTTTCGGACAATGTTTCGAACAAATTAATATTATGAGAATAATTATATACAAAATAATTAAATTATTTAAGATAAAAATATCTAATTTAATAACTAAGTTACATTAAAATTAATTGTTATTTTTTAATATACATATTTTTAGATTTTTTTGTACACTAAAAAGAAGGATTGTACTGTTAAATATTTTGTATTCATAAATCTTATGTTTACGTGCTTATTAACCTGCAATATAACAACTAGATAAAAATTCAATGTGGTATCGTAATTTTTATTTCGCTATAAGTTATTGAATCTTGCAAATTTCTCGGAGTCGTTCAGTGAACAATCGTTGAACAGAGATAAAGCGAAGAACGCTAATGTAGCATCACAAATGCCGCAATTACCGAGTCGATGATGAATCGACTTTCATGTGCGAGAAGAGATGAACTAAAATTGCTAAAAGAAATAAAAATTCGTACACGGAAGTTTATTCGACAAACATGTTATATTATTATAATAACTTTATAATAAATTTACATAAACTTTCTACTATGTTATTAATTATATATTAATATTAGATATTAATATTAATTTTCCAATTAGTAACTATTTGTCAACATTAAAGTCGATATTAAAATTGTTCTCATTCAACTTTTTATTAGATAGAATTACTTGTTCCTTTTTATTTATTGATTTAGACATCTTTTTCGTGAGCAATTGCAAAAATGCGCGTACGGTCGACGGTCTTCGTTTTACGTCAAGAATTGCGTTATCGATTCAAGACGCGAACACGCGGTACCCCCGTTCGTCTATAAATTAGTAATCTCAGCTCAGCGTTGCGAATATCAATTTAGTGGCGAGCGACGCGCGATAAAACTGAAATAAGGGAGCCGGACGATCCGCGATAGCGCATCGAGGAGAATGCATGCCTCTTGCCACCGTTACTGGCAGTTTCCTGCGATAACCCCAGCATTATACTCGTCGTCCCTGGCAAACGGGACGGGAGGGATTCACAATGGTCCACAATGACTGGGCCAACATTACGAATTAGGCTCGGTTACGCGTTTATTGCCGATTCCGGTCCGGGCCAGCGGCGTCGCTGCTCTCTTCCCTGCCGACGTCGAGGCGAATCGACGATCGAACGTCACGACGCCCGGCACCGACGCCACTGCTGAGACGAGAAGTATTAGCATTGGTTAGCTTTATGGGGCGTTCAGTTCCGCCATTCTGTCTCTCTCTCTCTCTCTCCTTTCTCTCTCCTTCCCCCCTCTTCTTCTCCTCTCTCTCTCTCTCTCTCTCTCTCTCTCTCTCTCTCGTTGTGGTGACTAGCGAGAGTCCGAGAGGGTGGAAATTGGGGCGCGGTAATTATTAATCAATTTCCGTATTAATTGTTTTCTGGGCGGCGGGCTTAAGTGGTATGTTGTGTTCTGGTTCTTGGCAAGCTCTGCCCCGTAACCAGCTAAAGTGTCATGCGAGAAGATTAATTACGTCGCGGCTACGTTTTATGTGTGTCATACAAGCGGGTACTCTCTTCTTCGGCCGCTCGATACAACTCGAAGTAGGCGAGGTCACGTAAAATCTGTTTTGAAGAAAATCACCCAGAAGGACGATAAAGCTTTGAAGTGTAGAAATTAGTCAAAAAGATTCTGGAGCAGTTATCTCAGACTAGAATTTATATAAATTACGAATAATAATCTAATTATTATTAGTTTATAAAATACTTAACAACAAAATACTTTATACTTGTAAATTAAATTATTTTTTTAGTTCAATCTATTTACTCAATCTATTGAGTTGTAGATAAATATTTTTAAATAATCTCCTATTGAAATAATAGTCGTCTAAAAAAGAGTTGTCATTTATATTAACAATTACAATGCTATATATTTTTCTGAATGGGAAGATGCTGGGTAATTATAATGCAAAACAGAATGATAAAGGGTTGCGATGCTTTTAGCAACTAAGCATGAATCCCGTAAGACGAAGGTCATTAAGCTTCCTTCTGGAGGCAAACATTTCTTCAAACAGACGTGACCCGCTGTACCCAACGCTGTGCTGTCCAGCTCTCTTCCTTGCGGGGGATGAATAAAAAAAGGGGTACATGAAAATAAAAGGGATCCGCGAGAATGAGATTTCGTCAGTACTCCCGTTCCCAAGCCACGAAAGAGCCAAGTTAGTTTTATTTTACAATCCATCGGCTCCCGCGACACGTAGGGATGGGCCCCGGTCCTTCATCGGTAGCGCGCTTGGTAGAGGGCCGAGAGGGAGAGAGAGATCGAAAGAGAAACGAGGGAGAGAAGAGGGAAATAGAGAAAAAGAGATGAAGGAGTCCTTCAGGATGGTTGGACGGGCGTTGCGACGGGGGGTGGAACGGCTGTCAACTAGTGTTTTAAAAGTTTGCGACAGCCTACAAATTGACTCGCTCAGTTCTTTTTAAAAGCAGCGGCAACCAACCACGTCGCGCAACCCGCTTTCTGTCTGTTCCCGGCGCCAGGACCGTGTCGACGACTGAAAAATCCAAAAGTATTACTCCTCGTCACCAGGGACAGATAATTTAACAAAAATCGAACTGTTCGAAAAATATCGAACAGTTTAACAAAAAACACTTTTTTTTTCTCTTTTCTTAACTTATCGAATAGATCAAGACTTTTACTTCACTCTTTTTAACAACAGAAAATTTGTATAATGTCTTCGACAAGTTTTGCTTGATAAATTGATAAAAGATTTGTTTCTAACAAATTTCGAAAAATGGCAGATTGCTTGAAAACAGACATTTTCTTTATCAATATTACATAATTATCGATAAGTATTAACAATATTAACTTTCTTTCTTTATAAATATATATAAACATTTTATTTGAAATCAATGAAGATTTATTTAAATATTTACGTATGTTTAGAGATAAAAATGAAAAAAAAAGAAACTAATCAAAAAAATCTTAAATCTACATTTCTTCTACATTTCTTTTATTTTTGAAATAAACACAATGTTTACTAAAGCAACAAATTAATATATATATATATATATATATATAATAATATGTGCTATTAGGTTGTACCTCCTTACAACACAAATATATTACACGGAATCGATATGACAAATATTTCCAATAAATCGTATCAAGAGCTTTTCTATATCATCTGTTATGCGTTTGATCACTATTCTCAAAAGTATTGCGAAAAGTTGTAGCCATTCTTGGACAAATTGACCTCTATCCGCAGAGACGGTCCATGCTGTATAGCGAATATGCTTGCATGTGATTCGAATCCAGGAAGTTTAAAAGTATTTTGACGTAAAACGCGGCCATTTCTCATATTTTCTATGCAAGCACGCTCCGCCGAGAGCGCATTTGATACACTCTATTAGTCGCATCTCTCGACTGATTTATGAAGTTACTCTCCGCATTATTATACATTTTCCCCATTTCGAAACTGGGATTTACCGCAGCGAAGTTTAGTGGCTCGCGCATATTCCATTAGGCAAAGAAGATCAATAAGTATCTTCTCTCGCCGAGATTTAACATCTAAATCCTCAAAAATAACCACGGTGTACGAATATATTAAAATCAATCAACTTAATCCGATATTTATAACATATCTTCAACAAAAATTTTCATATATTTTACTTGAAGTTTCTTTTATTGTTTCCTTTTTCATTTTTTAATTAAATTTAAATTTAACGTGTCTTTAATACAAATTGTAATTTTCCATATTTTTCGTGCGCGCATGTATTGCAACAAATTTTGTATTATACTATATATGTCATATATTAATATTAGATAAATTGCCCATTAAATGGGCAAGAATCAAATTAATAAAAATAAATATAAACATTTTATTATGAATATTTTATAATAAAATATATATTTTTTTGTAAATATTTATAAATCTTTTATAGAAAAGTTTACATCATGCAATTCAAACAGAAGAGTTAATTATTTTATAATATAGATATTTATTTATATTACAAAAAAAACCGATGATTTATATTTATTAAATAAATATATCATATATAAGCGCGTGAGTCTTATAATGGCCGTAGAGTATTAAGAAAAATAAGCCTTCTCAGTCTCCTCCTTTGTATCTCTCATTGTTCTTTAAATAACCCTCTCAATCCTATAAGTTCTGGCAACAGCTCGCTTCACGCGGCAAATCCAGAAATGAGATTCATTTCGAAATTATCCATGATTCTTCATGGACTTTCTGCTATTTAGGTAGAATCGTTGGCGGTCGTGGTGATTCAAACATGGAAAAATTTTGCGAAAGAAAAGATGGTGACTTCAGGCCGTTATTCGTGGATATTGGTATGGGATCTAACACTGTCGATTCACAGTTCTGCTGCTCGTCGTACCATTGTTTTCGGGCTGTTTGCACGATCATCCAGAAATACACGTTCAAAACTGTAATTGTTTGTTAAGTTTACAATTGCTTTTGTACACCGTATTTTTTTATAGTGTCATAAGATTGACTTATGTTCACAAAAAAAATTAGCAACAGCTCATTATACCTTATTATTATAACTTTTAAATTAATAACATTAAATATTTTTTATAGAACGTTTGTTATAAGATTTCTCTTAAGATAAAATTCGCTTCGATATTAAATTAAAAAAAAAAAAAAAAAAAAAAAAAAAAAACAAAAATCTTCTTAATTTATTTACGTCATCAAATAATTTTCCATTGAACTTTCGTTTAAGGACAAATTAGACAACGATTAGTTCACCTTTAATTACAAATATAAGCTTGGCAGAGATAATTTAAGATTATATCACTGATTAGTCAAAATTGATTGATTATTAGAATGCGTCCAATTTTTTTGTACAATCGTAAAAAAGATTAGAAATGTATTTACTCAAATAGATGCTGCATATCATAGTGTACCACATGTATATAGCAGCTTGTCGCTCATGTATTATGTGATCAGATAGCGCCACGGTCTGATCTATTATGCTAATCATTTGCAAATACATCCAAGGCACGGCGCATTTATGTCTCCTCTGTGAACATACGCGGAAGTTAACGTGGTCGTTAGCGAGTTAAGACAAGGCTGTTACGTGCTCGAAATACATCTCGCGGATAAAGAACGTTTGATGAATTTGTATTCGGTCGGTAGTGCCGCTACGACCTTTATCGTAAGAAATAATAAAAATCGCGCACTTTGCCTGCGAGTAAAATATTGTTTAAAAATTTTCCATCTTGTTGCTAAATATTTTGAAAAAAGAAAAAGAAATTGAGAGGCTTACAAAACTGATCGCGAGATACTTATATAGAAGGGAAATTAATAATTTACATAAATATAATATAAATATAATATGTAAAAAATGTAAAATAAAATGAAATATAAAATAAAATATATAGCAAAATTGTTTGATTGTAGATCAACTTTTTTTTATTCGACTGTTTGTTTATTTACACGTGGCTAGGTCATAAGCTAGGTAGCTCTATATTAATTTAAATAATTGCAATATGGAAGTAAACAATTGACTAATAATAATTTCATGATAAATCACTTACCGATATCGATCCTAAAGCGAGATAAGCACTGGCCAAGAGAAACGAGACAACGTATATAAGAAAACATATCATCGCAGTTTGCGCTGAAACGCGCAACGTTACGTTACATACATTCGTTTGCAGAAGCAATTCACGCGTCTAACAATAAGTCTGATCGGGTTTTACCTTTTTTCTGTAGTTGCGTATATCTCACTGCCTGCACCCAATTCAATCCCAGCATGGTCCAAGTTTTAACGGATTCGAAAAAATCTTCATCTCCCTCTCGTGAGAAAAAGTTGCTCACCAACACGTTTATCAGTAGAATCGAAGTGGACTGAAAAAGGAATAAAGCAGAGTGATTTCTAAACAAATATAAATTATAGTAATTGATATAAATTTTCGAATTTTAGAACGACATATTTTTGTTCAAAAATATTTTAACTATTATTCATAAATTATTCTTGTGTCATAATGCTCTTTTTTATCTTAATGGAATATTGATAACATGAATTAACCCATCCAACCCAGAAACACAACAAAAATTTTAATAATAATTTTAAAATAATAATTTTATTATATGTAAATATCAAGTTTAAAATAAAACTATTCACAATTGATTTATTTGACTTTTTATTCTGAATTCACCAACATATATCACTCATTATTGACATTTTCAACAATATTGTATGCATGCTCATATCAAAGGAGATTGCGAAACAAATTTTATACTTTATCTTATAAGTATATTTAATTGTAATTATAACACAAATATAGATTTCATATTTTTCAGCATCATGTTTCGGCATGTTTCGGTGATTTCATCTTATTTCTTCCGCACAAGTGCGTTCAATATTAATATAATACATATAAATCAAACAGTACTTATACTCAATTCTAAATATATGAAAAGAATAGAACAGAGTAGAACACGTGAAATTTTCAACTTACCATTGTATATGCCCCGATTATTCTTGCCGCGAACGACACACTGATGCAACATAACTTACGAGTCTCCATGATGAATTAAACTTTTCGTCTGATCGCGTTGCCTCCCGGACACAAAATGCCTGATCTCACCGGTGTCACTTTTCGTGTTACCTTGCCAGACAATACTTGCATGATACGTTGTAAAAAGTGTAAACACACATGGCCGGAGGTAAATACACGTTTAGAGTGACAATCTCCAAAATTAATCTCGCACACCGTCGTATCGCGCGAGCGGCGCCTTGGTATTAATTGCTGAACCTGTTAGCGAATAATTAACGCCGTTCCGTCTGTCGAATGTGACAATTGTTAGACAGAAGCCTGGCTTTAACAGGCGCCATGTGAATAGAACCGTTCTGCCCGTATGATTGTTGGAACGATAATATTGCCTTGACTGCTTCAAAGTTCGAAAAGACGCATTAATGATTCACTCTTGTAATTATGATAATTAAATACGTCAGCACGTTACCGTTTTATTGTGTTTCTCAATAGGGGGTCGTTTAATTTTTTATAAAAACTTCTAGAACACATTTATTAAACATTTTGTCGAAATGCAAAACTTAATTTTGTAATACGTGTATGTATACGCGTGCAGTCTATTTTTTGACTATCAAAATTAAATCTTACAATTATTAACTTTAATTATATTAAATAAATATAAAAAATATTTTCTCTAAATTTATTTTCAAAGTTTTATTTTCAAGATAAAAAACAAACTCCATGTTAAATAAGTAATTGATTTTTATATAACTAGATATTAAAGCAATAAAGTTTATTTTTTTAAACGTAAATTAATAAAAAATTTATTAACTTAATTTGAAATTTACATTTGTTAAAAAATCTCCGAAATTTCGAAATATTATTTTATTATTTTCTATATTCATGTAAGAAATATATTCCTCCATATATACACATACAGATTTATATACATGTAATTATAAACACATACATACATACACGAAAAATAATAATAACATAACATTTATAATAGAAATAAAATTATAATCGTATGATAATAAAAGTATAATCGTATGATAATAATATATATTTTACATTAAGCGTAATCATATATTATATATTATGATGAGTCCACATGTTATAACAGTATGTTGGTTTTATATTAGTACAATCGTATAATTAATATAATAAACTATTTTAATATTATATTTTTAACATAATTAAAAAATATATATTCTCATACAAAAATTATGGATACAAATCTGGGAAATTAATTCATTCCGAAGTATGCGCATGCGCCAGCACTGGCGCAGTTCGCCACATGTTCTGCAACGTGCTTCGTATCACTTCGTGTGTTTATAACATTCCTTTATAGTTCGTATTCTTTTTTTGCACATTGTGCATAAGGAAAAGTGATTTTGTGATAAACAAACTCCTCCAATGACAATTCAAGATATGGATATCTGTTTAAATGTAACGACAGATCCAGTTGTCGCAACGAAAAAGGTAAGTACTTGGTTAGATTAATTTAGGTTAGGAGAAATTTGTAAACACGTGTACGCAAAGAATTTGCACAAATTTCATGCAGTTGTGTATAGTAACTGAATAAAAAAGTAAAAGAGAAATTGATCAATTAATGTAAAATTAATATTTATGTTCAGAACAAGCTGAGGAGAACTGAGTTGTCCAAAATTAAAAGATTAAAGAATCAATCTTTTCATAAAGCTGCAATAGTAGGTAGCAAGGAATCAAAGAAAGATGCGAATACACAAGAGATAGGGCACAAAAAAAGAATTAAACAAAAGTTATTAGCAACTATCTTTGCAAAGAAATTGAAAGAAGCAAATGCTGTCGTTCGAAATGTACAGCAGTCTAAAGTTTTATTGCAAGATAAAGATGCAACAGTGAAAAATGTAGAGAAAATTGAACAATCTGAAACAAATAAGAAAGATGTAAAATCTGAAAAATTTCCTTCTATTGCAAACTCTGATTTTGTAAATGAACCAACTATATCCTTTACAAAAACGAAAGGACATATTGGTAAAGTACTATTGGCGAAAAAAAGAGACACTTTAAAACATGAACCAAAGAAATCACTTTCTAATATATTTTCAAGTTCAATAAAAGATCAAAATAAATCAACTATATTAAACTTGACTCAAGAACATGAAATGTCTAAAGATAATTTTAAATTAAACAAAGAACCCAAAGCAGTAAATAAAAAAGAATCAATTTTAAAAACCCCCCAAAAGATAAATATCTTAGACAAAAGGAAGAAAAGAAAATATAAAGAGGAAATTGTGAGTAATGACAAAGAATCTGATAAAACTCCAAAATTAACACATAGAGGCAGTGGGAAAATTTCTTCTTTGTTTGGTAATAATCCTGATGTACCAACTATAGGCCAGCGATTTGTAAAACCTGTAAATGAACCAGTTTTTACAGAGATCACATTTGCAGATCTTAATATACATCCATATATGGTTTGTATTTTATATATATCATTGATATTTAGGACAAAAATATTTATAACAAAATAATATACTTCTTCTCACAGATATCAAACTTAGAACAGAATATGGGTATAACTAAAATAACAACAGTTCAACAAAAAGCGATCCCTCAAATATTCTTAGCTAAGGACGTGTTAATAAGATCTCAGACTGGATCTGGGAAGACATTAGCATATGCTTTACCCATTGTTGAACTATTACACAAAATTAGACCAAAATTAAATAGAAGTAATGGTTTATCAGCTCTTGTTGTAGTACCAACAAGAGAATTGGTTTTACAGACATACGAATGTTTTGTAAAATTGACTAAAGTGAGTTAGTTAATATATTTTAAATATCGTATCATTTATTAAACATCGAAATTATGTTTTAAATAATTTTAGCCTTTTACATGGATTGTACCAGGCTATATAATTGGTGGAGAAAAAAGGAAAGCGGAAAAAGCTCGGTTACGAAAAGGACATAATATACTGATATCCACTCCTGGTAGATTATTGGATCATATAAAGAATACAAAAGCATTGAAGTTAAATAATGTTAAATATTTCGTGTTAGATGAAGCTGATAGAATGCTCGACATGGGATATGAAAGAAACATTTCTGAGTAAGTTTCTTATGTTTTTGCAAAACTATGACAAATTTTATAAATTAAAGTATTATTATTTACCGCATTAATATTATAAAAGTATAAAAATATAAATAAAATTATACCGATTAAAAAATTAATATTAATATTAATACTTGTGTAATTTAGAATAGTAAGTGCTTTAAAGGTATCATGCTCTAATGACCAGTCAGGATACGATGCTATGAAAATATTGAAGGAACATAGTAAGAAGAAATTTACAGATGAAGAATGTGAAGAAATGTTAAAGGAAGATACTATAAAATCTAAAATAGAAGAAAATAAAACCGAGGAAAATAGAAAGAAACAAGTGTATCATTCAAGTGATGACAACGACAGTGATCAAGTCGTTAATATCATTCAAACGAAAAAAAGGAAAAGAGATACAAAATATTCTACTGTGAATCAAAAATCTGATTCGAAAACGGAAAGTGTTCGTAACACTGAGCGAGATTGTGAAAATCAATTGAGAAGACAGACAATTTTATTATCCGCGACTCTGACACAAGCCGTTGAAAAATTGGCGGGTCTCACAATGGATGATCCGATCTTCGTTGACGCGGCTAAAGAGAATGTAGAAATGAGTGGAGGAGATGCTAGTGAAATTAACGAAGATCTAATAGTTCCACAAAGTGTAATTCAGACTTACATAGTCACCCCACCAAAATTAAGAATGGTCACTCTAAGCGCTTACATTGCCGGGAGATGTCAGGTATGGAAAATTTTCCATTTTAGAAACTATTCAGCATTATTCCAACTTGCGCATACAACGAGCATTCTTTATTTTCTACTTTAGACTCCTGGGCAACATAAGATAATAATTTTTATGGCCACGCAAGACATGGTAGACTATCATACCGAAATTTTATCTTCCGTTCTTACGAAACCAACAGATGACGACGAAGATTCTGACCCGTTAGTTGATGTAGAATTCTTTAAACTTTATGGTAATATGACGCAAAAGGAACGAACGGAGGTCTTCAAAACTTTTAATCAAGCAAAAAGCGGTGTACTACTGTGCACGGTAAGTCGTATATTTTATTAAAAATAATTTTAAATAGTATAAAATAGTTTTAAAACTATTGGAAAATTACTGAATATATTTCAAAGTGAATCATAATTTTCCTTATGAAATATGATAATATGAAATGATTGAGGAGAAAGTATTGTTATAATATGTTATAATATGTTATTGAACAGCAATATAAAAAAATTTTGAAATGATGAAATGGAATTAAGATTTTACTTGAGAGAGAATTTCAGTACAAAAAATATATCCATCAGAGTATACTTTAAAAAATTAAATGTTAATGTATATATAGATTAAAAATAAGCATAAAATGAAAGCGTTGAAAAATTAAGAGAGAGAGAATACAACGAAAGAAAACTCAGGGATATCTGTCGGCACTCCCTGAGCTGTAAATTACTTCGTGGCTTATTCTTTCGAGAGGGAATTTAATACCTCTGGACCCACGCTGTGTGTTCGGAGGTTAAAAATTATGCAGCCACATGAAGCCTTCGTAATGAGTATAATTACGATCATTTGTCTGTTCCCTGTATCCGCGCTTACTTCATGAAGCGATTGTTTAAGAGACCGAATTGCAATAATATTATTTTTTTTTTTAGTGATTACTAATTCTCTACAAAACAAAAATTGCGTCACTTTTCAATAAAATCTTTAATCGGAAGATATTTCTTATTCAAATAATAAACACAGTCGAAATATTTACTTATTTGCGATATACCCATAGAAGTGCCTGTTTTGCTAATTACATTCCGTGAACGGCATAATTAATCATGACGCGATAATGTTTGCGAGGTAACGGATAACTTTCTTTCTCCCCGGCGCTAATTACATTCGTATTACATCGGTCGAATTAATCTGACGTCGAATAACAACGCAATATTCTGATTCGCATTGAACTCTCGGTGCTTGCCTTAACTGCCGTAATTATCGGTGAAAGCGATCGATTTCGTCGTTAGACGTGAGGACTGTCAAAAATAAAACGATGATCTCATTTCTTCATCGACCAATTTAGACTTTAGTGTGAAATACTGTTATGGTACTTTCACGTGTTTGAAAGTATTGCGAATATCGGAAGAACACATGCAAAAGAAAGAAAAAAAAATAAAAGTAAAAAGTGAAATATTAAATCGCGGTAGGATTTGCGAATTGTGAACTTCACGATCGGCGTCACGCGAACGAGTGACAACTTACGCACCGTGAAAATTAATTCTTTTCCATCAGGCGATCTCGTAGAACCGACTCGAAAATTCCGAGATCTCACCACGGATTCTCGTTATTCTCTCTACTACCCTCGTTAAGCTCTATACATTGCGATTAATTGGCGACCCGTTCTTTCGAATTCGCGCCTCAAACCCGTGTCACGAATCGCCCTGGAAAGGAGAACAGCAAAATCAAAATCTACAAAACTGATTCTGAATATAACGAATATTTCGTTTCGTTCACCAGACTTTATAGCTTTCTTTTCTTAAGTTTTATTCATTCTCAGATTTCATACTCGGATGGCATATGCCTGCGGCAAAACAACTTTTGAATAAAGAAATTATAGCGTGTATATAATAATAATTCTGCGACGCAATTAAAATATAGAAAGATTAAAATTACGATCAAATATATTTAACACTTCTTAAGAAGCATGCGAATAATATTTAAAAATCTGCAACGTTTTATGGTAATGTAAACGTTGATTAAAATATTCCAATACTTACTATTTTAACGAAGGACATTTATATTTTTCTTGAATTATTTTAATATTATCTATTTATGCAATATTTTAAATCTTTAGGCTTTGCTTAGCATCGTGCAAATATAAATTAAACAATGTTGCATTTTTATCATTATAAGAAATACTTATATATTTTATTTTTATATTTCATTGTTTGCCCATTAGTTATGCGATATCTTTTTTATCCGAAATTTTTTTTTTTTAGAAAGTCGAATTTAATTAATTTTAATTAATTAAGAATATGAGATTTCACAATTTTAAATTATTTCTCTTCTGCCTAAAAACAATTGCTGCTAATAGATTTGTCATGATTATCAAGATTATCCAGAAAATTCGAAATAATGAAAACACATGTATAATTATATGTTAAGGGCATGTCACACGTTCATTCAGTTATTATTACATTTCAGAAAGATTTCTGAATCCCAGTGCGAACGTATTGATGTAGTGTTTATAGAGGCACGAGGGAGAAGGAAGGAAACGGAATAATTTACTGTGTACTTAGAGAGACGTCCGGCATATTTAACTCCTTAATGTTGATCCACGGAATGTGCGATGGCAGCCGCCCACGTTTTACGGCGTCGCTACCACGTAGGTTTTACGGCCGCGTTATTAATTTCCACGTTGAAAAGCCACGAGGGCACCCGCGGCCGGAATGTTCCGCGGCTCTCAGCGGTAGTGGATCCGGATCCACGATGTGATCTATGGCCCGAGTGAGATGTTTTGAACGGGCGATCCGTTCTCGATCCCGCGATCCCGGTCCCTTTCTTAAACGATCGTTTGTCTTAATCGCCGCCATCGATCGCTCCTCGGCTCGCCGCTCTCCTTACGTGTGTTGAAACCGGTGGCAGGTATCGGTGCTTGTATCGTTTTAATGTGCCAAGTGTACTTGCTCCGATTGCGAGCGCCATGCGAATGATTACAATTACGAGATGTGTTAAACTTTAGAGGGATATCCCTTGACAAAATTGACTCTCGGGAGTGGCAATTTAAATTGCGATAATATTAATTAGTTAATGTTAAACGCTTAACCACTTTTTTTATTTCTCATTTTTATAGGCGTTAATAGGCATTTCTATCTTTCAAAGTTATATAAATCATTTCGTGTCAACAATAAGCATCAGCGTTTTTTTTTTCTTTTTCACCTAATCGTTTTTGCTCTCTCATTAATATTCTTATTCGCGCGGAATAAACAGCCAGAAATTACTTCATCGATATTCATCAAACGATAAGATATAACGGAATATCACGGGGTGAGCTCGAGAAAGATTCGGTCTCGATTTATTCTGAAAGGTCGAGAGGGGGCTTCTTTCTCGTATTCCTTCACGCTGGCGCCCGGATCGCGCCGTCGTCGACGTATGTTGAATTAATAGCAGGAAAAGATGTAATAAGAATACACGGATACACGTCCGTATCGTGCCGCGAAAGAATTCCGGGGTGCCGCCGCGACGCCCCCCACTGGTGGTCTGGGATTAGTCCCCGGGGCCCGTCAAACGGAGAGACTCGGTGAGGCTCTCGCCGCGGTAAATCATCGACTAGCCGAACGTAGAAAATCAGGGCCGTGCTCAAACGTTCGCCGTTGGGGTCTCGCAGCGGGCGCCTGCTGCCAGCCGCGCGCATTCACGTCGCCACAAAACGAGAAATCGCCGCGGTTTGTAAGACATTTGTACCAGCAGGTCGCCGTTGCCGCTCTTGTTCGTGGAACGAGGCACTTCTCGGGCGGGGGGGGGGACTTTGGAGCGTGATAACTACCGAGGACATTGTTCCGGACAAATTGTGACGGAACGACGACGTTCTGGTTCTCATCTGAATTGTTCAATTTCAAAATTCGAACTGCCTCGAGAACTACCATTTCGATCTAAA